GATATCCTTGCCTATAACGATGTAATGCTTGAGATTCTCATCATCTGAGAGGTTAACTTGCTGAAGTTCCTCTTCTGCGGAGATGGTGGGAATGTAAGTGAAGTCCTCTTCTGCGGAGATGGTGGGAATGTAAGTGCCTGAGTGATAGGAGGCTTTTCACGAGAGATATCAACTGCGACACGGTAAAGATCAATCTCAGCAAAAGGATTTGAGATCAGGGTAAGCCTTCAAGATCTGTAATTCCTCAAGATCGATGGGGCGATTCCCAGGCGAGACAGGCTTGCAGGCTTTGGTAGAGACATTGACTGGACCATCAGGTCTTTCAAGGATAACTCGGTCTCTAGGCCAATCCTGTAGTGTGCCTGTTCGTCGTAGCCAGGGACGACCAAGGAGTACCGGGTAAGCATCAGGCTGTTTGGGCAGCCTGTCATGACTCTAGCAAGAAAGGGGAACAAAAGCTAGCAGCCGTAACTGGTGTTGATTGAATTCAAGGAAACAAAGTACAAGACCTATTCTTATATACTAGTTTATAGAGCCAAACTTGGAGTGTTCTATAAATGGGTCTTGAGATCCAACCGTAGAAGATGAACGGTGAAGATGATAATCCAAATATAAGGTCTTGAATATACCTTGAAATATACCAGATCCCAATATGCTCGAGAATATAATTAATCTGAGTTTAGGACTTGCGTATTTAATTAGGGGCAGGAACCCTAGTTCCTGACACAGCCTAAGAATGATGTAATTGACCGGAATTTTAACTCCTTTGATATTGGTAACAACATTGCGGATGATGCCTTGAGGTCTCACTGAACGATGATCTGCCATTCGAACATTGAATGGGGCAGGTTCTAGTGGGCCTAAGCCAAGCATATTGGCTGTTCGCTCTTCCATGATGTTCACGCCCGAGCCACCATCAAGCATAACACCTTTGATGGGGTGGCGTCCAATGTATAGATCAATACATGGAACATTGTTGTCACAGTCGCCTGGTTGAGCCTCAGCATGAAAGACATCAATGCTGGGTTCCACATGAATGATATCCTCAGGTCGGATAAGAGGCTCTGGAGCTGCGCTTTTAGGCTCTGGAACTACGCTTTTAGGCTCTGGAACCTTACGTTCAGGTTCGGGAGCTGCGCTCTTAGGCTCTGGAGTTGCTGCCTGAGTAATCAGATGCTGAAGCTTATCGCCTAAGTAAGGGGCAAGCTGAAGCAACTGAGCAAGCATAATCTGAAGATTCTGATTGAGAATTGTGCTTGCTATCTCTTGGCTAGCAACAGCCTGGCTAGTATCAGCGTCACCTAAAATTGCCTCTGCCATCGGACTAGGTATTGCCTCTGCCATCGGACTAGGTATTGCCTCCACGTTTGTGTGCGTGCATGTATCGGCGTCTAAGGCGTTGACACTCATGATCCCACCACCCTGCAGCGACAGGCAACCGCATGGCTGTTCTTGGTCGACGGTGTTTGAAGATCTTTAGCGCTTCCTCCTTGATTAGTTTCAGCAGCAGGGCAGCGTGGTGTTCTAGCGGTATATGACAGGATTCATCCTCCCAACGTGTCTGGAGATCCGTTTGGAAGCGGAGAAGGAGGGGCTGACTCATCGAGTAAGAAAGAGGGCCGACCTCGGCAAGGGAGTTTAGTGAGCGCGTCAAGGTAACGAAGTTGACTACCACTTCGATGGGCCGGTGGTCGGACTTTGGGTTGAAGTCGTGGAAGAGCAGCTCACGGACTACCTGTGTGTTTTTGGCCGGGACAAGCACGTAGTCGATGATAGTCTTGCCCCGGTCTGGTCTGTCCGGGTCATCGTCTGTTAGCATCCAGGACTCATAGGTGTGTGCTGAGCTATGTGGGAATCTTTTGGTGCCGTTCAACACTATGAGATCTGCTGCAGATGCAAAGTCCAGGAAGCCCGGTCCTGTATCCGGTTGGAACGTGTCTCGTGCCCGGTCTCGGAGCCAGCATAGCGAGCGGGGGATGACTTCATCCATCGTTTCCTGGGGCAAACTCTCTGATTGCCTTCGTCCGATGCGAGAGTTGAAGTCTCCAACGATGAGAACTACTGCATTTTGACTCCATCGTTGGATTTCTTCGCCGATGGAGTCAAAGGGCTGCTCCTTTTGGCGTACGATGGTTGGCGGGAAGTAGGCCACTACAAGCAGGAGGTCACGTTGTCGGGGACTGCGAAACCTGATAGCCAGCCAATGGTTGTGTTCTCCCACTTTTTCTAGTGTGACATTCTGGGCAATCTCACGCTTAACATAGATGGCGATCCCTCCTTTGCCGAAGGAGTGGTGTTCTGCAATCCAGTTCCAGCAGGAGTGAAGCTGAAAGGCTGGGAATTCAGGTAGTCTGGCCCTTTGGTGTTCCTTTGTCTCGACGAGGCAAAGCGCATCGCAGGTGCCGAACTCGGAGAGCCCAATTCCATCATTCCAGGGGTATCCGCAGATATTCCAGAAGAGAATGCGGAGTCGGTCACGAGCTAATGGCCTGGGGGGGCGCATGGGGCTGGTGATCCCAGCAGCTTAGGTTTGCCTACCTTGCATTCTTCGATTAGGGTGGGTTCAGCAAGTCGCTCATACTGCATAATCCTGAGTTTAGTACGTTAGTCATCTTTGTGATCTATATCAGCGGTATATTCCTGTGGATAGCTAATTACCAACAGTTAAAAGCCGGCTGTTAAGTCTAGCATTATCCTTAATATATTAACGGTTTGCCTTGCAAAATCCGTTTAGGGGCCGGTCAACTTAGTCTTCGTTCGCTGAGGGCGGGAAGTCTCTGTTGGGGAGGACAATCTGCAGTGATTGTGTGTGCTGCGATCCGAATGCCTCGCCCCATGGGTGTCGGTAAGTGGTACGTGGGGTGTTGTGAGGCTTCTGCGGATTGTCTGCGGCCATGCCTTTGTTGAGGAAGTCCAGGTTTAGGCGCAGGGCGTCATACCGACTTGGGGCCAATGATTTGGGAGGTGCCATGGCAGGGGGAGACTCAGCAAGGCGGGTTGTGTGCGGCAGTTGGCTCAGCTCAGGGTCACTGTCCTTGCTTGAGTCTTCCGTAGACGGGTAGTCTGGGTCGTCTCTGTCCCTACCTTGCAGAGAGGCCTCCTTAGCATGGCTTTGATGTTTTCTCCGGCGTCTGCTAGCTTCATCTTTTGTCCACTGTTTGAAGCAGGTCTGGAGGTACTGGGCGAGTTCAGCCTGCTGGGGGTGGGTATTTTCCTTGTTGTCCATGGGGATGGTCGCATGCTCACTTTGTCGATGCAAGCCGGGGGGTTGTCGGGTGCTGTCATGGCCCAAGAAGCGCCAGCCAGATACAAAATCAGGCGTGAGGTCTCCCCAGGTGGTTGGGATGTTGAGGTAGTGGAGGCGGACTTTGTGACCTTGTGGATCATGCAGATGGGTCGGGAGCGCAGTGGCGATTGAGATCTCTACTGTAAATCGGTCTTCCTCCTTATTGAAGTCCACTAGCTCACCAAGGGGTGCAAAGAAACGGAGCAGGTCTGTCCCTGGTGTAGGTTGTCCGGGGTCAAGGCGGATATGTAGCGGAAAGCAGCGTCCCAGAGGTCCTGACTCCGGTTCCCATTGCTGGACATATGCGTAGCTCCCTTGGTATGAGAACACGCCCTCGCCTAGGACGCGTCGCATCTCCCGGAATTTGAGGAAGTTGACGGTAAAGAGATGACGACGGGGGCCCGGTTGGACTTGGAAGTGGACGCAGCCGTAGGTGGTATGAAGATGTTCTGTGAACCACCGGATGACGTCTTGTTTGTCTAGGATCGGATCATCGAGCGCAAGGAGGAGTGTGTGGATCTTGTGGTCGGATCGGGCATCAAGGTGGCCATATTGGGGTCGTGACTCTTTCACGGGCAGCTCCTGGGCAGTACTTGGCTTGATATTCTCCCCTGTTGTCTTGGGCGGCAGCTCTGTAGCCTGCGGAGTCTCCACGGCCTTGGTAACAGGTTTCTCCTGTGTGAGCTCTGCCGTCTTCACTGCCCGCTGTGGACCCTGGGCCTTCTTGGTGCCCTTGGTATGCCCTCGCTTCCCTGTTCGTCGAGCAGGGGAGTGAGATTGATGCATGTGCTCTCGTTTCCGACGGTTTGTTCGGAAGTGGTCACGACCGCGTGAGGTACGCCCACGATCTGGCGAGGAAGGTCTGCGTGGCCCCTGCTGATCATACCGGTTCTGGGCAGACCCACGATAGTCGATATCCCGGTCGCGGTACTCTCTCCTGTCTCGTGGTGAGTGGCGGTCATGATATCTGGGATGACTTCCGGAATCATGGGGGAGGGGTGAGTAGTAATCCGGTGATGGCGCAGCCTGCGGGGGAGGGGCTTGGTGGATAACGTAAACGGGGGCTGGATTGACAGGGGCTGGAGTCCCTTGGCAATTTGGTAAGTCGTAAAGCCTGAGTACCAGACTGCCATCATATTCAACACGATATCCATCCGTGTAACCAGCAAGAAGGTTGACACAAGAGGTACCGATGCCGCTAATCAGGTTGCACAATTACCACCTCGGTATTGAAGAAAAGCGCTGGAGGCATCCACCTTGGTTGAGAATTGAAAGACCAGAAAACACAGTAGCAGCATGAGGCTCCTGCCATATTGAACCTGTTGAATTAAAATGTTATTCAATGAATCAGAAGCTATATATGTAGAGTGCATAGCAAATTACCTTGCTTGCTTGATATTTGTTGTGAGTCTGCAGATATCATTTTATACCTCGAGAAGTAAAGTTACTCACGTTTCTTAGAAATTGCTTTCAATCTCAAATTACAATTTGAACACTACTTCTAATAGACCAACTTCTTGTTGACCCAAAATGATATATCACATCCCTGCATTGAAATCCTTGCAGAATGGAGCTGGCTGTTTTCAAACACAATTGTTGAATAAAAATCATTCGTCAAAAATCTTTTGCTGTTTAGGGCCTCACATGTTGCATTTGGGGCAAAGTTTGCAGTCAAACCAAAAGTTCTCAAAGCCCAAACAATGACGGAGGGGTGATGAACGAGCTGTTCCCTCACTTACGACCTCCAGATAATGTTTTTGATACTAAGAACACCAAGGCAGGGACTGGCGTCGGTGACTGTTCCGATCAGTGCTAGACAGTGGCTGCTTCAGGCGATCCGGCTAAAAGACGATGAAATCCGCAAAAAGTTTGCGCATGTTTTTAAATTTTTTTTTTCTCATCTGAAGGCGTGAATATGGAATCAAATCCTCAGTGCTGAGCCACTCAAGAATGCGGACGAGAACACTATCCCTCGAGTTCGGATGATCTGAGCAACAGAGCAGAATGCGTTAATCCCGAGTCAAATAGTGCTGCTTCGAGATTACAACCTGAAGCTCCTTGTCCAAGGAAATTTCTGCAGTCAAGTGAAAGATGCAGCAACACCAGATGAGAGAGTGTTTATTCCCATGGAGGACTTTGTCCAAGTACGCATTGTCAATGAGCTGCAGTAACAATTTGATGTATGTGCCGTAACTCTTAGGCAAACCAAAGTGCAATTGTGCAAGTTCACATACGATGCGATAGGGTTAACTAAGTTTAGCATCAAAAATCCTATAAATCTTTAGTTTATTTTGAGTTCCCTAAATTCATAATAAGTCCAACCTAAACATTATAATCTTATGAAGAGACCGGTCTTAATCAGGATTAATACCAGCCTAACACATCAGCAAATGCCTTCCAGGCTGTCGGGAGTCTGTTAGCTGGCATGCCGATATGGCCTGGAAGACATTTATTGACGTATTAAGAGTCTGTTGATGTGTTGGGAATTCAGGGAGTCTGTTGGGAATTCAGTTGATGCCGGAGCAAACTCAGGTGCAAGAGAAATCCTCGTGACAATAGTTCTAATGATTCTGCAGACCGAGTCGGAGAATACAATGCTGATCTTGGAGATGGTGACAGTCATCGAGTCGGTGTTTTTAGTATGAAGAACAACATATTGTGAATTTAAATCTCGGTGATCTGGGG